ACAGTGACAGTGTGTGTGTTCGTGTGTGTTGGACTTGGAACGTTGTTATATAAGTCACTAAATAAAAAAAATATTTGTGTACTGAAATAAAAATGAAAACTACATTTACCAAAAAACATGTTAGACTATAAACTGCAAAAATTATTGCCACACCAGCAATGTCTTTTTAACTTCAGTGCTTGTGGTATGACAAAACAGCCGCATGTGATGCGCCCCACTAACCAAATATATTAAGTACAGTAAAACCTTGGATTGCGAGTAACTTGGTTTGCAAGTGTTTTGCAAGACAAGCAAATTTCTTTTTATAAATTTTAAATTGATAAACAAGCGAGGTCTTGCAATACGAGTATTACATATACGCGTTGTCTGCCTAGTGTCACGTAATCACAACTGAGCCGATGGTGGTTCTCTCTCCCGCTGTGGGAATGTGGGAAATCGTCTCCCATGCTTGGTCATGGTCTGCGTGCCTCACTCGTATAGTCAAAATTTAGTAGAAAAGCACCACCTGAATAAGGGCGTAGCAGTGCAAGCGATGAATCTGTTTAATGACAATGCAATGTCCACATTTCCGCGAAATCGAAAAGGAGACTAAAACAACTGTCATTGGATAGATTCCTTGTTAAGTCGCACAAAAGAAAAAGATTCCAGTGAGCCAACAGATAGCAGTGATGCCGTTAGTTATAGTGAAAGTCGTCCTACAAAATAACCCTCCTCTTCTCCTGTCTCTCGTCTCCCTCACACCATCCATGATTCTCTTCAAAGATAAAGTGCAGGTTAATTTGTTTTATGTATTTTTACTTTATATTTTGTATTAATCATTTTTATATGAATATTTTTGGGTTCTGGAACGAATCATCCGAGTTTCCATTATTTCTAATGGGAAAATTAGCTTTGGTATATGAGTGCTTTGGATTACAAGCACGTTTCCAGAACGAATTATGATGGCAATCCGAGGTTTTACTGTATAAGGATATGCCGAATTAATACAGATTACTAAATTTTGGGCATCACGATATGCCTCTCACTAATATTTTAAGCATACTACTTTTCTAATTGTGGGTCCAAGTAACATTGACACACTACTGAAAAGCCGGCATCCATTATCTAAAGCCCTGCAATGACATATAGTTTGTTGTTGTCAAAATAAAATTTACTTAAATGGAGAAAAATTAATCATTTAGAATTATCAACCAATCATTAAAATAGTCCTTAGATTAATCAATAGAAAAATAGTTGTTAATGGCAACCCTAGTAAGCCCTACCCTGCCCACCAGAGATTCTGGTGGATCCACTTACTTTTTTTACTTATACTTGTAGTACTCCTGTTCTTTCAAAGTTGTTCTAAATGGGGTCAAGCAAATTAATGACATTCATACGACTTAGAACCTCCCTGCATTAAGCTCAAGTGCAATCCAGCAATCTATGCTAAAAGCTACAGTTAAAAGCAAATCACTTCAACATAATGTATACGATTGTGGGTTTTGATGGTCACTGGAGGCTATAACTGCAGAGAAATCAAAACCTTTAACAACTAAAATCAATTTGAACAACAAGCATGGATAATAGTTTCAATACAGCTTCTTCTTCAGCTAAGGCATAGGAAAAAAACAGTAGACTTATAACTAGAGATGTCAAGATTACTCGATTATAGACTCGATTATAGTGGGGTACCGCAGGGTTCAATTTTAGGACCACTATTGTTCCTAATTTACATTAATGATATTGACACGAATATATACAGTAAACTGGTTAAATTTGCAGACGACACTAAGGTGGGCGGGGTAGCAGATACTAATCTAGCAGCAGAGAGGCTTCAACGGGATCTGGATTTAATTAGCGAATGGGCTGATACTTGGCAGATGAAATTTAACACAGATAAATGTAAGGTAATCCATGCAGGGAGCAGAAATATACAGTACAGATATTTTATGGGTTCCACTGAAATAAAGGTAGCTGATTACGAGAAAGATCTCGGTATGTATGTTGATGCTTCCATGTCCCACTCTCGCCAATTGGGGAAGCAATAAAAAAGGCGAACAGAATGTTGGGTTATATCTCTAGATGTGTGGAGTTTAAGTCAAGGGAGGTGATGTTACACTTATATAATTCCTTGGTAAGACCCCACCTAGAATACTGTGTGCAGGTTTGGTCACCATACCTCAAGAAGGACATTGCTGCCTTAGAAAAGGTGCAACGAAGAGCTACGAGAATGATTCCTGGTCTTAGAGGAATGTCTTACGAGGAGAGGTTAGCGGAACTGAATCTGTTCAGCCTTGAGCAAAGGAGACTAAGGGGGGATATGATTCAGGTCTATAAGATTCTAACGGGTCTGGATGCTGTTCAGCCAAATGACTATTTCAATATTAGTCTAAATACTAGAACTCGTGGCCATAAGTGGAAATTAGCGGGAGAACATTTTAAAACAAATTTGAGGAAGCACTTCTTTACACAGCGTGTAGTCAGAGTATGGAATAGTCTTCCTGCTATTGTAGTGGAAGCTAAAACCATGGGTTCCTTTAAATCAGAGCTAGATAAGATTTTAACAACTCTGAGCTATTAGCTAAGTTCTCCCCAAACGAGCTTGATGGGCCGAATGGCCTCCTCTCGTTTGTAAATTTCTTATGTTCTTATGATTAAACTTGATTTTTTAAAAGCATCAATTAAAATTTGCTTTCTCAATTACTTAGCAATATGGAAGAAGGAAGATGACACATTGTAGATGAGGGTCCAAATAAAGAGCAAAAGCCTCAGTTGTTTGGAAACACTTCACGTTAAAAATAAATGAAAATGCAGTCGTCTGTCAGTATTACAAAGAGGAACTTAAATACCACCACAAGACTACAATGCAAATATATCATAAAAGAAGACATTTAGGTTTGACAGACTCACCCAATGATGTAAGGTTAGCCACAGATATGCACTGTTGGGCAAGTTACTCAGGAAGAGTAATGTGTTACTTTTTACTCATTTTAAGAGTAATAATATCACGTATTACTTAGCATCAAAAGTAATTAGTTACATTACTCATTATATTACTAAAATACTTTAGTTGCCCAATCCCCCATAACAGGGTCATTCAACTAGCTTTTTTAAAAAAGGAATCCACTTTATTGATACGATTAACGCTGCACAGAAAGAGTCAAAAATCAAACTGCATAACCACAAACACTGGAACCGATCTGAAAATTATAAATAAATAAATTAAGTACTAGCCTCTCCCAACTTTTTAACTGAAGAATTCTCACAGTAGAAAGGAATTTAAGGTTTTACCAAATATTTACGAAATGTAAAAGTTGCTTCACATTTCATTTTCACATCATGTCCAGCCTCCTATACTTGCACTTTTTTAAACTATTCCTCTCTCCCTTGTCCTCTATTATTATTGAGTCTTTTTTTGGTAGCATTGCTCTGATCTGCTGCACATGCACATCATAATAAAAGAATAGCCTACATACAAAAAAAAAAAAATTGAGTTGGATTAGTAACTGTAAACATATTACTATTTTGGAAGTTGCAATCCCTTACACTACTTTTTACTAGGGTAAGTAAGAATATTACAGTAATGTGTTACTCCCCAAAACTGTAAATATGTGCCACTTAACCTCTTGGAGTAACCTAGCCTGACTTTGTCATTACATTGACTTAAATTATTTCACTTAATTTACTTTCTATGATGCCTGTATCTCAAAATGGTCAATGAAGGGTAGCCCTGTTGCTTAGCTGCATTATCTTGCATAATATGGTACATAACCACATATTTTTTATTGTCAACATATTTTGTGTTTTGAGTAGGGCTGAATATTAGAAAAAGTTCACACTGCGATATTTGAAGTTTTTGTAATATTTAGAAGTTGAAAATTAACTTCAGGCAAATGGAACTTATCTACCAAAAGAGTCTGTCAAATAAAATGGTGGTGTTGCTGTGAGACGGGCCAGACAGACAGAAATTGGGGCTGACAATTCACATGCATTTTCTAAATACTGCATATATGGAATACAAAATATTTCCACACAATGGAAGACATGTCTCTTCCTAAGTCATTTCTCACAAAGGTGACACACTGTCCATAAGTAAGTCAAACAGCAAGGATGAGAATGATTATGATGATAAAGAACAATTTTAAGCTTTTTAAAAAAAAAAAAAAAAAAATACACACACACACACACACACGATGATGTTAAACCACCATTAAAATTGTAAAGCTTTGCTAAGGGCACTTTTCCACGGCACAAAGTACGGTACTTTCGGTACGGTACTTTCGCATTTCCATTGACTTCCGGTCGAGTACCAGTACCGAAAGTTCCAGTACCAAAAGTGCCAAACCAGCAGGGGGTACTTCTTTGGTACTTTGGGGTGGGACTTGCAAAAGTATTTGCTATCAATTGGTTATGGCAAATAGCCTGCCGCTGAAACACAAAATACAACCGCCATCTTTTGAAACACACAGCAAACAGCGAGAAACAAAATAAGAAGCAGTAGAAACAAAAATATAAAAAAGTAAAATGGAAGGATGGACAAATGAGGAAACACAGGCTTTAATCGTCATATGGTCGGATGAACAGATCCAGTGGGATTTGGATGGCACGACTCAAAATAAAAGAGTTCTAGCCGTTCCGGACAATTCAGTGTCCCTATGTTTCCCCTGTTGCGCGCTGATTTGTGCATGGTTTCGCTGTTGTTTTCATGTCTTTTTACAAAGCTCTTGAGGTAAACAAGCCATATATTTTAAAACATCACATGCCTTTTCAATGTTTTTTGTTTTTACAGATAATAAATGAACATTCACATACCTCTTTGTTTTAATATTAGGGGAAACATTATTTCCTGATAGACAGGAGAAACATAGGGAAACTGAATTGCCCGGAACACCGTAATACCAAGCCACTTGGAAGAAATGGGGCACACGCGAAACACCGAACAATGCCGATTGAAAAACAAAAAAACATAATTAAATAATTTGTTTACTTTCAAAAGACTGAATTAGCAGTAAGCTAATTCTTACTGCTTTGATCGGCTTAGCCAAAGTAAGTGTACCTACGTAAATGTAAATGATGGCAGCATTCATGCAATTTGGATATTACTGAATCTTATACTGTGATAGAAGCTGACATAGCAATAAACCGCATTTAATTCCAGCCTAAACTGTGTTTTAATTTTGGCCTGTTTTTTTTTTATTATGATGATTTAAGCTGCCCTTTGTGACGATGTCAGTCAGGAGCGGTCACTGATGATGTCATTTGGCGCTGGTACCATTTTTTACGCAGTGGAAAACCGACACAAAAGAAGTACCATACTTTCAGCACTTTATGGAAGTACCAAAAGTATGGTACCTGGTGCAGTGGAAAAATGCCTTAAGTTTCATTCTCTATGACTAAGGAAAGATATTTTAGTGCAACTTATGGATGGTCTCAACCTGGCAGACTATCATGGTCTTTGCAATGTAACAATTCTATATATATGTAATGCAATGTCAATATTAACGTTGCACAGTATGCAAGCCTAGTGCTGAGGGTGACATGTTGGTGCAGCAACTCAGTATGTGTGGATTTACACCAGATCCCCCAGTTTCCTTCCCCTTCCAAAAAATAAAAATGTACTGGCACTGCATAAACTGACAGCATGTATTAGTGCATGAGTAAGTGTACATCCTGCAATGGACTGGAACCCCATCCAAGGTTGGTTCCTGCCTCATGCCAATTGCAATGAATATTATTTTATGCTATGTTATAAACGATTACTCAATTAATTGTCAGAATTATTCAGTAGATCACCCAATTTTTTATGCAATAGTGATTGATAGTTTTAGTTGTAAGCAATGAATCTTCATCATATAATGAGCACCTTTCGAGAAGAAATGACCCAGTCATCTGGGAGATCAACAAACCCTTCAATAACGGAAGTGTTCATAAAAGATCTTGGTGTCTTTCAGTTTTGGATTCCTTTGGTGAAAACAACTAAAAACAATTTTACATTTCACTTATCTGGAAGTAACATACTAAAAAATCCTTACCCTGGTAAACATCATCCATTGCAGCATAATCTGTTAGGGGTTCATCAGCCTGGGAAAGAAGAGACATAATTTTCTTTTTAGAGAAAAGGGGAAAATTGTAATTGAGTTTTGTTAGAATTAAACTGCATTACATTGTTAAAAATATTTTCTCAGCTTTTAATGATTTGAATCTTTAAAGAAATAATGTATAAGCTTGCATTAATGGTGGTAATAGAAATCTACACTTATTAAAATCAGAATTATAAAATTGTAACAAATGTTCCGTGATTATGAACAAGTAATTTCCTTTTTCCACTCATACCTTTAAAAAGATTACACACTCTGGTATGACTCCAAGGCTGCCTAAAGTAGCAGAATCATCTGTCAAACATCTTCCATCTATACTGAGGTTTTGATCAAATGGGGCCACGGAGAAGGCATGCATAATCTGTAAATACATAAGTGGCATTTGATGTGATTGCAAAGAACCATTCTCACCATAAAAACTCACAGATAACTGAAAATTATCTAACAATGATAGATGACTTTCTTTTCTGCATATGAATATACACCAATGAGCCAAAACATAATAACCACACCCATGCAGAGAGAATAATGGGTAACGCTTTACATTAAGTGCACCTTCATAATGTGTTCATAAAACATTCATAAACAGCATGAAAGTACACCTTAACATCCTAACATCCCTTAACAGCTTTAATATACATTAATAACAAACATTACATGATTATACAATTATAATGTTTGTTATTATTATATAATGTTTGTTATTAATGTATATTACAGTTGTGAAGTGATGTTAGAATGTTAAGGTATAGATACATGATGTTTATGAGTGTTTTATGGAAACACATAATAAATACATTATGAAGGTGTACTGAACATTTTATGAATGCAATATAAAAGCATTGTGAAGGTGCAGTTAATGTAAAGCATTACCGAATAATGTTATATATCTTGCAAAAACAATGCGTGTCAACATCTAAGATATATTAGATAATAACCTAGCATTTAGAACTCGTACTCAACATGTTAAATGCAAAAGAAAGCTACATGTTTTTGGATTGCAGGAGGAAATTGGTATGAAAACAGGGACAATATGTGAACTCCACTTTTGGGTCAAAAAACACAAATCTTCCAGTGACAATTTACATTCACATCCAATCTCAAACAATCCTCACTTTTGCTGACCCACCTGTATCTTCAGCTCCTTAAGAGTCTGGTTGGCTGAAACAATGAGTGCTTTCTCTCCACGCAGTTTACGGTGGCGTGTACTCCTCCGTATGCCTGATTTCTGCGAGATGGGCATCACTGTAGAACTGCGAACAAATTCACCAAGTTTCTGTCGCTTGGCACCATCCCCTGACTGGAGAAAAAATGGGACAGCCTTTAATCCTCAAGTAATTCTCAACTAATCTGCTAATTTTGCTGAATGATTCTTTTTTTTTTTATTATTGAAAATGTCAGGAAATATCAAAGAATAAAAATATCAAAATAAGCTATTTAACTGATTAAAGAATGAGAAAGACCACAAACCTGTAAAACAAATTCAACAAAGGGTGGTGTGACTCACTGGAAAATGTAATCATACTTTGCACATATGCACAACATGTTGTATTTACATTTTTATTAATATTAAATATTATTCTGATATTCCCTGCGCACGTATCACAGCAGCAAGGTTTGTGTCCGTACTCTCATGCATATGCATTTACATGTATGTAAGTTTTATTACCTTGTAAATAGTCTGTAAGGTTTGCAAACTACCCCAACGCTTGTCAAAAGCACCCATGTTGGAATTTAAAGTGGATGCTAGTGAACTGATCATGTGCAGTGTGTCCAGAGCTGCATGTACACCGCTGCATGGACAGAAATTTGGAGTGCATCAGGTGTTTGTCTGCGGAGGCACACAGTGGCATCAAACACATCATAAACATTTCAGCAGACACATCTGCTAGCATGCGTGTGGAGAAGTTTGAACCAGCCTTTAGGGCAGGGGTCTCCAACTCCGGCCCTGGAGGGCTACCTGGCCTCTGATGAGCCACACTTATTCTCAGGTAAATACCAGGAACAAGTGTGGCTCATCAGAATCCAAGTGGGACAGAAAACATACTGGATAGTAGCTCTCCAGGACTGCAGTTGGAGACCCCTGCTTTAGGGTGTACTCATGCTAGCAGATCTGTACCATGCTGGAGCACATTTGACCCTCAAAGTCCAGTTCATTTGACTAGTGTGATTGCTTTATATTAAGCCCAGCAGTCATACACTTAACCATGCCCTGACCTGCTTGGAGAGATGGGCCAGAACACGATTATTTGGATTTGGGCACAGAATCGATGTAGTGTGATTGCAAACCATGGTGAAGTATGGAACACAGACATGATTTCAGTGATGTGATTGACACACACATGTGCACATGTACACTATAAATGAACTGAACCCAGAAGAAATGGATCGGGTATACTGGAGAGGGTGATCAGTATGGATATGATTCGTTATATGTATTTTGAGGGGGCGCTGCACTATTAAAAAAAATAATGGATAATATAAGCACCCATTAAGGTTACAGCAGTGCCAGGGCTCAAGGATCCAAGAATAAGTTTTCAGGGCACTTTACACCTGGTCATTCCATTTTAATTTAACAAATTTTCCAAAAAATATTTTGCTTTACCATTTTTTATTGCGATGAAATGTGGCATGTCAAGTACAAAACATAGGACCTGGATTTACAAAACTGTAGAATTTGAGGCCATCCAATTTTAAGAGATGAAGAGACATTATTTGGCTTGGAGTACACAAGTGGTAGGGCTGGGTGATGTAAATGACAGGTAAGGTGAGGCAAGATAATTTATATCGCTACATTTACAACAAAATCGCTACATAAATAGTTGTTGTACTGTATTGTTTAGGGTATTTTAATAATGACAAGAAAAAAATCTGAACACGTTCAGTACAGATGCAACCATCGTAATAAATATTTTTTAAATATATAAATAGAAAAAATATGAATTCATTCTCTCTCTACCTACACATCACTTCATTTGTGTGGATTCAGCGTAGCACTTGGCCTGCAGCAAATTCAAGTTTTGCTTTTTGGAACTTTCTGGATGTTTTTTCTGGAATATTTTCGATCCGTGGTTTGTTGAATCTGCGGATGTGGAACCCACGGATACAGTGGGCCGACTATATTCCCTGCAGTTCTGGGAATACAACTATGTAACTTCAAGGTGGAACACGCAGAAAAATTAACACACACCTACATATTCGATCAATTTCTGTTCTGTGTTAAAGAACTTTCAGCAACAAACAAACAAACAAAAAAAAGAGTTTACCTGGTAAAAATCAGGGTCACTTTCACCTTCAATTTTTAGTTCCTCCCTCTCATCTTCAGCATCTGAGCCACTGACATTGAGCTCAGGTGCACTCTCCTTCATAATCTGCAGTGAAAGAACCTTCATTAAATTACAGATACGGCCATGCTGTAATGCTAAATGGCACAGGGAAACTCACTCTTTTGTTAGTAACTTTACGGACATAGACAGTGGCTTGGGTGTATTCCTGTAGGTCTCTCTGCTGCTGGAAAATCAGTCCCTCTCTGCAATCCAAACATAACTCTAGAAAAAAGGGGTTTAAAAAAAGAAAAATATATAACTATTGCGATAAAAAGTAAAAACAATTAGTGCAAATACATTCACATTGCTAAAGTACCTGGTTGAGTTCGGTAGTGTACATTTGTGGTGTTTTGAATGTTTTCACTCAGCCTGTAAATTGAAATGGGTTGATCCACGAGGAACAGCCTGTTTATGACATCCCATTCACTTGGCCAGAGCAGAACTACACTGTAGAAAGTCAAGAAGGATATAGATGGTAATATAGCAAACACATGCTGACAAGGTGTAGAATATGTGCAAAAAGAAAATCATTGTCAATATTTATGTTTCCTAACATTAATAAACACAAATTATGAATATGACAGCATACAAAGAGCACAGGAACAGTTTACACATACTTTATCCAATGCAACCCTGTAGTAAGGAGGCAAGAAGCAGAAACTGATTACAGTGTGTTGCAGCACCCACCACATGACAAACCCCCTCAGGGATGAGAACCTAAGTGCAGCCAGGTGGCAGGTAATACCTCAGTACCACACTAGTCCAAATGGACCAGTGTGAGTTTTTTACAGTGGCTGGAGTGCCAATCCTGCCACCGACCCCCAAGTTTTTCCCTGTAAGTTGGAGGACTGGCTTGCATGGCTGGATGTAGATTAATGTCATACTCAGGACTGAGCAATTACAGGTTAAGGGCCTTGTTCAAGGGCCCAAAGGAGTAGAATCACTCCAGGCATTCATGTGATTTGAACCAGCAACCTTCCAGTTGCTGGCATAGAGCCCTACCCTCAGAGCAACCACTCCGCCCTGTAGTGGACAAATGTATAGACGATAAATGCATAAAAATGTATAATGTTTGGATTTTTTTTTACACTAAGAGAACCTTGGGAATTACACTGTGTTTGTGTGCGCCACTAAATTATTATAACTACTTTCCCAGTATTATCTATCCTAGTAACAGGAGTTAGCTTATTACTGGCGAGTTGAGGGATCAACAGTTCTACTCCAACATGACCCTCCCAAATTTCGTTGCACATCTTGCATGAACGTTCACTTACATCAGACGGTCAGCAGCACTAGATTCCTTGGGGGGCACCTGGCAGCTGACCTCACCTGGTCCCTTAATAAATCCTCCTTAGCCAAGATAGTGCAGCAGTGTCTTAACTTCCTATGGTGGCTAAGGATGGCAAGTCTACCTCCCCCCATCCTCACCATGTTTTACAGGGGCACCATTGAGAGTGTCCTGACCAGCTGCATCATTGCCTGGATCAGGAACTGCAATGTTTCTGACCACAAGACCCTATAATGGATAGTAAGTGCACCTGAGAAGATCACTAGGACCTCTGTGCCCTCCACTGATGACATGTTTATGATACAGTGCACTCATCAGGTCTCCAGCACTGTGGAGGATGCCTCCCACCCTTCCTACAATCTCTTCATCCCCCATATATCAGGCATAAGGTACCCAAGTACTCAAGCCAATTCTACAAAACTAACAGCTTCTTCCCCATGGTCATCCAGACTCTAAAATTGTTGATGTATATGCTGTTGAGATTAGTCGACATAGTCGATGACGTCAACACTGAAATAACGTCAATATTTTAAATTGATGCATTGTTTCTTTATTATTTTAATAAAACTACTTCTGCGTTGTCTATTCATGTTTATTAAATTACCAAAAGCATGGAGAGCTTTTTAACATCTTTTATCCTTGTAGCCGCTAAATATACTCATTATTAAAGCCATAAAGTTGTCTGCCTACTACATTAGAATCTCCATTGAATAAGTGTCTGTGAAAATGTTTAGGGTAAGATCGGGGTTTATTCTATGCTGACTGAGGGTGCCAGTGTGTGCATTCATGCGTGTTGGATGTGTTAGGAGCAGTGTTGTTTTCGTAAACAAACTGAAATAAACAGACAAAGAATTTGTGAACTGAAATAAAAATGAAAATATTTACAAAAAAAAAAAAGAGTTTAATCTACAAAAAGTACCACCACACCACCATCATCTTTTTACCTTGTTTAACCACAGTATCTCCTCTTTTAAAATATGTTGTGGTTGCTGAACTGTCCCTTCCTTCATTGTGACTTCAGTGCTTATTGCTAGTGCAGCATGTGGCATGCTCCACTAACCGAATTTATTAAGCATAAGGATATGACAAATTTATACAGAATACTAACTTTTGGGCATCACGATACATATCTCATTAATATTTTTAGGCATACTACTAATCCGGTTATTGAATTGTTGGCAAAAATCTAGTGCCGAAAAGCCAGCCTACATTATCTAAAGCCTTGCAGTGGTATACAGTTTGTTGCTGAAAAATAGTCATTAGTGGCAGGCCTATTGTTTAACAACTGATTAAATTAATTAATTGATTGATTAAGCTGGTTGGGATATTTATCAAATACATGAAATAGCTGGGGTGCCCCTGAAGACAGATTTGGGAAATAAAGAGTTCTTCTGCCCATCCATCAAGCTATCAGTGTCTGATTGAAGAACAGAAGTCAGTCAGGGGGTCCTGAGTAATTCTGTCACAAAGACTTTAAAATACCATAGTATGCCGCATTATCGTTATACCGCCCAAACCTAGTTCAAAACTGTTCAAACCCATAAAGAGTTTACCCATTTCACTTCTCTGCTTGTATTTGTCTTTATTGCAATACATCTGCGTTTTCCTGGTCTGATGGAATATCACTGCTGTATGCATGCACCGATTGTGATCTTCTGCATCCATGGACCGTAATAGCACATGGAAAAGTGAAGTATGAACTAGGCTAGGTTGTGATGTCATTATCTGAAAATGATTTTATTTTTATTTATTTTATTTTGTGATTATTTGTCATTGTTGACACACCACAGCACACAGTGCACAACGAAATGTGTCCTCTGCATTTAACCCATATGTGATTACGAAGCAAACCACAAAAATGCAACCTATCAATGACAAAATCTGTTGTCAACTATTGTTATCACTGATTATTATCAACATTATCAATTAGTTGTTGCAGTCATATTCTAATGTTAAATAATGTTTTCTGGGAAAATGTGTACTTGTTGTCCAGATATATAGTTAAAACAATTCTCTTTGGTCACCTAAGATTTTCACACAGTATTGCATATTGTGCTTTGCTAGCTGAAGTGCACTTAAGCTAGATATGCACTTTCGGTGGAGAAACACAAAAATATGGGTGTTCAGAGTATCCAGACTTCATGAAGACCTTGGATGGGGTACTGGAAAGCGCTCCCTCTGGGGACTTTCTTCCATATTTTCAAATTCATACATACACTTCATACATATATTACATGCACTAGGTCAGGGGTCCTCATCAGAACTACATGACCAGGATACTTTCCCAATTGATAAGAATTCAATGATATGTGGATTTTAGTGGCAGTAGTAATGGAGTAATGGTCTGGAATAATACATGGTAGCCTACCAAACAGAGTATTAGGTTGTGTGGACTATGCAGTTGATTCAATTATAATTTTATCAGCAATGCATTCTAAACTTTCAGTCCACGCTATTAATAATACTAACAATTACAACATACAATAAGTCCACAGATTAAGAACGTCTGAATTACAGAAACCCATACTAAAGGTGTTCCACCAACCACTGTCCCACTGCCAAGTGAGTTATCTTCGGGAGGTATGATGCCTGAGGGATTAACCCTGAGCTCAAATCTGCAGTTTGGGGACTGGCACAGCCAAAAGATCAGACTATCAGTAGTCCTCTGCAGCCCCAGCCCAGCAATGGTAGTCTTGAGCTTGTCTGTCTGTCTGTCAGTCAGTCAGTCAAAGGACTACCCACCTCAATCCCTTCCTTGCCCCACCCCCAAACATCCAGTGGTGATATGGAATAACGGTAGGCACAGGGCAAGGATGTGGCTTGAAGAGCCTAGCCAAACCATATACACAGGTGGCAGAGGAATGATGGCCAGTAAGGTCACCTGAAGAAGCAGTGTAGCCCCTTGGCAGTTTCCTTTTCATCTGAGCAGCCCAACACTGCTCACCCCTAGTGGGGAAGGATCTGGAAGAGGTGGCTGAAAAATCTTCTGTTCCCCCAACTCCAGACAGTAAGCCACAACCTTTGGAGCATCCCTCTTTCTGGCTAAAGAACCTTATACCTACACAAATGCACATATAGAGAGGTTCTCTCTCTCTTTTCAGTACAATTCCGTATGTAGTGACTTGTTTTTACTGTATTATTATGTACTGTATTATGTTTAAGCTGTTTAGTGTATCTGGAAGCATTTAAGTATTTTACATGCATAAAATAGTAAAGTATATACTACATACTAAAAACAAACATTTGAGTAACTGACACTATATATATGAATCATATGTAGCAGGTTCAGACTTAACTGCAAATTAAACCTAAAGATAGACTTAGAAATGGATCTCATTCGTAACCAGGGAACTGCCTCTCTCCACTGATTAGGCATATTTGCTTGTTTATAGAGCTGTAAAGGGAAGTACATTCATCCATAAAGGCAGGTACAGTCATTCGTCAGCTTATGTCCTATTGTGTAACGTACCATTGTACTAACGTCGCACAAGACCTTTAATAAAATTCAAGAGAAGTCTGAAGACAATGTAATGGACATTAGTGGATACATTTTACCATGTGTGTATCATGTGGCAAGAACCAAAACAAACTGATTGTGCTGTCGCTACAGAAATTTAAACGTGTGTGATACTGTATAATCTTATGTTATACAGCAGAGGTCACCAACATGGTGCCCGCGGGCACCAGAATGCCCCCAAAGACCACATGAGTTGCCCACGGACCTGTTCTAAAAACAGCACAACTCACCAGTGAGCAGTGTCTAAAATTAAATTTTATCCCATTGCTATTCTTCTTTAATCACATTTACATTTTTATATATGAAATGACAATATCTAAAAAAAAAAAGCATTTACAACATGTTTATTATACATTTAGATAATAGTTTAGATAATTTTAGGAAGGCTTTTCAAACTGGTAGCCCTTCGTATGGCTCAGTACCCATGAAGTAGCTCTCAGTTTGAAAAAGGTTGGTGACCCCTGTTATACAGTATATTTTACCTCTGCCCTATAACTATAGCTATGTCCAGATTGACTTACGTTCTCTTTCATTGTGCGATCGAAGAAAGCGAAGAAATTCTAAAGTTCCAAATTCAAATTCTGGAAATTCCCAAGAACTATGTAAAGAACTATGTAAATCATTAACTATGTTATTAATATC